GTAGTCGTGGCAGTAGTAGTGGTGGTGGTGGTGGTGGTGGTGGTGGTGGTGGTGGTGGTGGCGGTGGCGGTGGTGGTAGTTGTTGTTGCTGCCGTTGTTGCTGCGGTTGTTGCTGATGCTGCTGCCGCTGTTGGTGTTGTTGTCGTTCGGTTGTGCTAGAAGCAGTACCAGTAGTAGTATCAGTAGCAGTACAACTCGTCGTCGTCTTCGTCGTCGGCGCAGGAATGGTGTCTGTGATAGCAACGAAAATTACAGTCGAAAAGCTACTCGTCATAAGCAAACACGCAATGGAAAAACCCTCCACCCTGAAATCACCCGCCCCAATCAAGGCCCTATCCCCAAAGCACCGCTTTAACCCCCTCCCAGGAAGCCCATCGTCCTGGCAGTGCTTCTTCCGGAATACTCTCGGCCCCAACTCCGTTCTGAGTGACTAGGGCCTTGCTGTTAGGGTTTGGAAAGGCTTCTCTGAGGCATTGAAAGGCTTCTCTAAGGCAGTCTTAAAACGTTGGGGAGGGCTCTGTTTGCAGGTGTTGGAGTCGTTTGGGTTCTTAGGTTGTTGGCCATTGTGCTTTTAGGCATTTGGTGGGTTATGTCGCGGAGAACGAAACAAGCTTGAGGTGGTCGGGGGAAAGGTTGGAAACCAGAACGGCTGAAGCGGTAACCAGCTTGAGAAATGTCTGGGTCCAAGGAGTTGAGGTTGTAGAGCTTTGGCTTACCCTAAACCCTAAACCTTTGTAGGTGTTGGCTTCCGAGCATTGGTTGAGAACTCTTGGGCTTTTGAGATTGAAGTTTCTCAGGCTCCGACCAAGTTGCCCCTCTCCCAGGCAGAGAGCTCGGGAACGCGCGAGGTAGAGATATCCTTTCAGTTCCAGGGGTTTGCGGCTGAGGCCAGATACGCTGAAAGAATAATAAACACATCGTAAATAATACTGATGGTTATAATAACAACAACAAAAAATAATCACAATTATAACAAAGCTGTCAATTTCTCTTGTAAAGTTACAAAAAATGAATAAACTAGGGATACGACTATTGATAATATAAGTAATAATAGCAGTAACAATATGTCAATATTCCTCATAACAACAACAGCCACAATAATAGCAGTAATAATGGTAATAAGAGACATGGTTTAACAAACATAGTAATAACGAAGAGTAATAATAACAACAATAATGCTGATGTTTACGAAAACAATGATAACACTGATGACAATGAGCATGGGACTTAAGAATAAAACCCTAAACCCTGAACTCGAAACCCCGAAACCCTAAACCCCTAAACCCCTAAACTCTAAGAATAAAACCCTAAACCCTGAACCAGGTCTCATGGAGGTCTGAGGACGGAGCTGTGAATATCCGAGTCTGCACGTGCATGGGCCTCAGAAGCTTCGGAGGTGGGATCTGTTCGTGGGTTTAGGGTTTAGGGGTTTAGGGGTTTAGGGTTTAGGGTTTAGGGTTTAGGGCTTAGGGTTTAGGGTTTATAGAGGAGAAAACCCATGTTTAGGGTTTAGGGTTTAGGGTTTAGGCTTTAGGGTTTAGCTCACAGGGTTTAGGGTTTATAGAGGAGAAAACGCATCTATAACTTAGGTTTGAAGGTTTAGGGCTTGGGGTTCAGGGTATCAAAAGTTCTTCATCCTAAACCATAAACCCTAAACATCCCAAATAAGAGGCCGTCTGCCGGCAGTAACAGAGATTCACTCCGGCCGCAGCTGGGTTTAGGGATCTTAGAATTCTTAGAAAAAACCCTTTAGGAATCAGATTAGCATGTATTCCGTACCCGGTCTTGTGCCCCCTATCAGGTCCTAGACCCCCACATAAGGCCCGAAGCCTTAACTCGCAAACCCTAAGCTCTAAACCCTGAACCGCAGCCCAAATCCACCTCGGGCCCAAAACGAAGATCGACAAGACTGGAACCGGCATCGAGACCCGGTGCCTGAAGGTACAGGGTTCGGGCCTTGGGGAGTTAGAGGGTTTAGGGTTTAGGGCTTTTCAAGCGGAAAACAAAAACGCTAAACCTTAAACCCCTATAGGGGCTTAAGGCTTGGGGTGTAGAGCTGCACATCATTCAGCCCGAAACCTGAAAAACCTAGACTGTGGACCTTCCACCTGAAACGCTGAAATCCCAACCCATAACGGTTTGGGGTTTTCGGTTAAGGGTTTAGGGATTAGGGTGTGGGGGTTTAGAGTTTAGGGTTTAGGGTGCAGTTTAGGGTTTAGGGTTTAGGGGTTTGGGGTTGCTAATGAGGTTTGTCCCAAAACCTCGAAGAGGCCTTCTTTGGGTATAGCGAAGGAGATTTTCAGGAAGTCCAGGTGCCGGGCACGTCGTCCTCGCCGTGGCGCTCGATGCCACTATTCAGCTCGGCCCAGGTCTGCGCGCAGATGATACAATGTCATACAGCACAAGGTACTATAGTCCAGCACAATGAGACATGGTCTTATGACATAATGTGATACAACAGTATACGAATGATCCGGCATGTCCTGGAGCGTCACATTGCACGAACAAAAAACTAGAAGACGAGTGGCCCGAAAGCATCATTAGCCATGAGTTTTGGAGCTATGTAATTGGAGACTATGTAACGTCACGGGGTCGAGTGTATAAAGTCTTAGAGGGCAGTGCGTGGAG